CCTCTGCTCCTCGCCAGCAGGCCCAGAGAAGAGGGTGTCTGGCTGGGGAGTGAGATTCAGATTACCACCTTAATCATATTTCCTCTGAGCTGTGCTGAGCCGAAGTTGAATGGGGAAACAGGTAAGAGAGGGCAGAGACCAGGATAAGGAGGAAATTCCCATCCAGAGTGCAGCGATGCGAAGCACCTGTCTGAGTCTAACCAGATTACTGCACTGCAAAGCTTCTAAAGGGCCAAACATATCACACATCACAAAATCACTGCCATCTCATAAAAGAGAAGAGAAAGAAGGAAGAAAGGATAGGAAAAAGAAAGAAAAGAAGGAAAAAAGAACGAAGGCATAAAAAATGAAAGGTAAGGAAAAGAATATAGAAATTAAGGAAGGAAGGAAGGATAAAAAGAATATGGGAAAGGAAAGGAATAGTACGGAAAAACAAAAAAATAAGGAAGGACACAGGAAGGAAATAAAGAAGAACAGTAAAAAAAGCAAAGAAAGGAAAAGGAAAGAAAAGGAAGGCAAGGCAAGGCAAGGCAAGGGAAGGGAAGGGAAGGGAAGGGAAGGAAAGGAAAGGAAAGGAAAGGAAAGGAAATAAGGAATAGTATGAAAAAACAAAAAAAATAAGGAAGGACACACAAAGAAAAGAAAGAAGAACAGTAAAAAAACAAAGAAAGGAAAGGAAATTAAAGGAAAGGAAAGAGTCCTCTGCAACTTCTCTTAAAATGTTTAATATGCTTAATTGTATGTATTTTAAGTATGTCTGTATTACCTGGATGTAGTAAACACAGCATAGATCACTGGATTCTTTGGGTCTTTAGCACTCATCAGAAACACATCCTCTGGAAGTGAAATAAAGAAACATTTGGAGTTATTAAAAGTGGATAAACACACCTTAAACTCTATTGACATCTGGAATGTTGCAATGGAAGTTTATGGGCCAACTGTTGCAAGTTTGCCCCATAAACTTCCATGTTTTTTACAGCTTGAGGGATGAGTAGAAATTGTTTCCAGTGGTGACAGCATACCATGGATGCTGTCGACTTAACTATTTCATGCATTTCCCACAAGATTTCTTTAAAGATGCATTTCTGACTTTATATTAAAAATAACTGTTCATATAATTATGTTCAGACTAAACGTTCATAGAAATTTCTTACGCAGTTCATCAAAATGTGTGTCTATTCCACTGAGGCCGGGAACTGAGCAAGTCAGCTTGGCTTTCAAAAAGGTTGTCCATTTGTTCACGAGACTCCTATGTCCACCCATGTCATTCTGGAGAAAATGCAAGCAGATTAGTCACATCTTCTTTAAAAACCACATAAAGCTTTGAATACTGACATTATTATGTTAATACTGTGTGTCCAAATGCACTGGAAAATGTGCATGATTTATATTTCTGTATGTGATGATACCTTACACAGTTGTCCTATCCTGGAGATAGTAGCTTTGCCTGTATGTTCGCCATCCATGGCGTTCTCTTTGAAGAACAGGAAGATCTTGTCATCTTCAGGATTATCGCTCTCTGGGATCAGGTGTATTCCTAGAAACCTGGGCTCTGGAATACACACAATGCATCAGAACTTCAATTTCCACAAGACAAGATACAGAAGAAATGGAGTTGTTTAAAATCAGCATTTTGGGAAGTTCAAACCCATAGAAATGACCGCACACATCATTGAATCCCTTTGAGCTGTTCCAAAATGAGCCGAGACCTCAGTATTGCCAGTTACAGGGGGATCACTCTTACCCAGCCGTGACCGCTCTCTCTTGCAGAAACGAAATGTAACACGCCCCCCACCCACGTGGGCGGCACACGCTTAAAGCAACATGCAGTGCTGCATTACGGCCCAACAGACCCAACAGGATGTGAAGCTTAAACAGCGGAACGAACATTTACCAAAGTGAGATCCGTTCATGCACTGTGAGTGTGTATGTGTCCGTGGAGACGGCAATGAAACAGTGCCGCCCATGTCATTCAATACACCGACTGTTTCCCAAAGACATTAAACTTGTTCCTTTACTCTGTAAAGGCTGATACTCTTTGAAGTGCGGGAAGAATAACCATCAACAGCCATCGGCTTCATTGTTTGAAGATAGCGAGAGGCCCGTGTTTCTATTGATAAGGCTTGATAGAATATCCATGTGACTAATCCTCCAAACGACACTGGCTCTTTTGTGCGAGAGACAGCTTTCAGAGCGGGTGAAATAGAACTAACGTCCGATGTATCCGGGGTAACAGACGACGAGGATTAAGGTGAGATGAGCGTTTTCAAAAGCACATTTCCTCACGAATATAGGAGGGTATTGATGGCATGGACGCTGACCCTGTGTGAGGACTGAAACGAGAGCCACTCGCAGGAACAGCTGAGACAGGATTAACTTCATGGGAAAACACTGACTGACTCTCCTATCTTGATATTGACCTTTTGTGTTCCATAAGTCTGCAAAAATGCAGGCGGGATGTTAGAGGAAACACTCAACACCCCGGCCGAACTAATCTCTCCTGCAGACGTTCACAAAGAGGCTCTTTCTTTCTCTCACACAGATACGGGCACATACACATTAATGTGAAGGGACATAAACTTGTGCACACAAAAGAAAACCCATAAATGTACATTTATTTCACACATTTGCTCTTGGCAGACACATGCTTAGCAAAGTAACATATACTGTGTGATGATTTCACCAGGCAGCTAAGGATAGAAATTGAGTGCTAGGATGAAAATCATAAAGGGTCTATAAAACACTTGGACAGACACTTATGCAAGCATATGTCTATACAAAGGGTCTTTCTGAACTCCTTAAAAATACAGACTGAGACAATATTTCAACTAGGAGTGGGCAGCATGACTAATATCTCATATCACAGTATGAGGTAGAAGCAGAATTAACTGTTGTGCCTCTCCAAACAACACACATTAATGAATAACTCAGCGGTTTTGAAAAAATCAGTAAAATAAATTAATCTGTGACTCGCTCATAGACAGTCACTTGATATGTTCCTGAATTAATCAGCATTTTTGAACAAACTAGTTGAATGAATGATTCAATCAATGCTCATTCCTGAAGAAATCAGTCTTTCTGAACAAATTGGTTGAATAAATAACTCAGTGACTCACTCATAAAGACAAATACTTAATTAGTTCTTGAATGAATCAGCATTTTTAACAAATTTATTGAATGATCAAGTGACCCCCACATAAAGACAGTCACTTGATTAATTCCTGAATGAATCAGCATTTTTGACAAATCAGTTGAATAAATGATTCAGCAAATCACTCATTAAGACAGTCACTTGACTGGTTCCTGAACTGATCCAAATTTTTGAACAGATCCATTTGACTGAATGATTTAATCACCTGCTCACAAAGACAGTCACTTGATTCATTCCTAAATAAATCAGAATTGTTTAAAAAACGAGTTAAATGAATAATTCAGTTACTCATAAAGACTCACTCATTGAACAAATCTGGTGAAAGAATGATTCAGTGATTTACTCAAAGAGTCACTTGATTCATATCATGGTGTGCATTTCTATCTCAATGTAAACGTGTATATATTCAATAACCAGCCCTAAGGTGTTCAGAATACAGCATTTTTACCATTCAGCCATCTAGAATCATGCTGCTCAGTTCTGATTGGATGATGTGACCCAAGTGTTCGGAAAATGGCAAAGTCTCGTCCCATGAAGTCTGCTGATGTTCCAGAATACAGTTCGCCATCTGACAAATAAATAAGAGCATGAAATCTTTAATCAGTTAACACTGATTCTAAATCTTTAAAACCAAAACAACACCATCTCTGACTAACTCACCAATCAGGAGGGATGAGGACTGCATCTTTGGATCATAGGGACTTTTCCCACGTCCGTTCTCAAAGTAGTTGGCATCTAGTCTGAAGATGTTGTCCTGAGCAAAGGGATAATGAATTAACCAACCACAGCAAGGCATGAATAGTAAACGGATGAGGTAATGGAGAGGTGAATGTCAAAAAGTGCCAGTGAGTCTCTCAATATTCAAAAAGTAGTCAAAAAGATGCTGTTTTTGAAGAAAAACATTCATAGAAACCTACTTTAGATTTGGATCTCCAAACTCACAGCAAAAAAAAAAAAAACAGCACTCAATTTATCTTCTATTATGTTCAGTGCGCTCAGGTCATGATTAATCAAATCTTGAAATTCACTGACATTTTTCCACCATGTAAAGTCCATCTCATTTCCCACAGTTGAGGCACTTCTAAATAACACACTCGTGCTTTGTGACGCTCTCATTTTCTACTTCACTGGAGATGCCTTGGAGATATTGTATGTATGCGCATGAGCGCGTGAGTATGTTTTAGTGCCATTTCTTTCCTGAGATTGAACTGGACTAAGAGAATTAATTTGATCAATTATTAATATCGAGTGTGTTGTGTACCTCTGCTCGCTTGCCTATCTCCAGGTAAGAACAGATAGGATGGAAAGCTCCGGTGCCACATATGTAAATATGTGTCTGGTTATACGGCTGCAGCACACGCACAAAGTTTGAGCATTCTTTCTGAAAAAGACAACATAAAAAATATCTGTTAACCAAGATAATATAAAACATGCCTATTAAAAAGATATTGTATAATATACAAATTAGATGGAAATCAGACAAAAAATAGAAATGTATTTATTATATTTTTAATAATAAAATTAATTATTAAATATTTGTATTTAATAATAATAATAATAATAATAATTAAAAAACATATTTAGTGATCAGAACTTGGCTATGGAACATTAAGCAACCACCCAGAACACCTTATCAACCTACTTTTGCCTAAGCAAGAACCACACAAATTATCTTCTAAAAATGTGAAAATAGTTTGTAAATATCATAATTTCGGCCGAACTAATCTCTCCTGCAGACGTTCACAAAGAGGCTCTTTCTTTCTCTCACACAGATACGGGCACATACACATTAATGTGAAGGGACATAAACTTGTGCACACAAAAGAAAACCCATAAATGTACATTTATTTCACACATTTGCTCTTGGCAGACACATGCTTAGCAAAGTAACATATACTGTGTGATGATTTCACCAGGCAGCTAAGGATAGAAATTGAGTGCTAGGATGAAAATCATAAAGGGTCTATAAAACACTTGGACAGACACTTATGCAAGCATATGTCTATACAAAGGGTCTTTCTGAACTCCTTAAAAATACAGACTGAGACAATATTTCAACTAGGAGTGGGCAGCATGACTAATATCTCATATCACAGTATGAGGTAGAAGCAGAATTAACTGTTGTGCCTCTCCAAACAACACACATTAATGAATAACTCAGCGGTTTTGAAAAAATCAGTAAAATAAATTAATCTGTGACTCGCTCATAGACAGTCACTTGATATGTTCCTGAATTAATCAGCATTTTTGAACAAACTAGTTGAATGAATGATTCAATCAATGCTCATTCCTGAAGAAATCAGTCTTTCTGAACAAATTGGTTGAATAAATAACTCAGTGACTCACTCATAAAGACAAATACTTAATTAGTTCTTGAATGAATCAGCATTTTTAACAAATTTATTGAATGATCAAGTGACCCCCACATAAAGACAGTCACTTGATTAATTCCTGAATGAATCAGCATTTTTGACAAATCAGTTGAATAAATGATTCAGCAAATCACTCATTAAGACAGTCACTTGACTGGTTCCTGAACTGATCCAAATTTTTGAACAGATCCATTTGACTGAATGATTTAATCACCTGCTCACAAAGACAGTCACTTGATTCATTCCTAAATAAATCAGAATTGTTTAAAAAACGAGTTAAATGAATAATTCAGTTACTCATAAAGACTCACTCATTGAACAAATCTGGTGAAAGAATGATTCAGTGATTTACTCAAAGAGTCACTTGATTCATATCATGGTGTGCATTTCTATCTCAATGTAAACGTGTATATATTCAATAACCAGCCCTAAGGTGTTCAGAATACAGCATTTTTACCATTCAGCCATCTAGAATCATGCTGCTCAGTTCTGATTGGATGATGTGACCCAAGTGTTCGGAAATATCTCCAGGTAAGAACAGATAGGATGGAAAGCTCCGGTGCCACATATGTAAATATGTGTCTGGTTATACGGCTGCAGCACACGCACAAAGTTTGAGCATTCTTTCTGAAAAAGACAACATAAAAAATATCTGTTAACCAAGATAATATAAAACATGCCTATTAAAAAGATATTGTATAATATACAAATTAGATGGAAATCAGACAAAAAATAGAAATGTATTTATTATATTTTTAATAATAAAATTAATTATTAAATATTTGTATTTAATAATAATAATAATAATAATAATTAAAAAACATATTTAGTGATCAGAACTTGGCTATGGAACATTAAGCAACCACCCAGAACACCTTATCAACCTACTTTTGCCTAAGCAAGAACCACACAAATTATCTTCTAAAAATGTGAAAATAGTTTGTAAATATCATAATTTCTCTCTTTCAGACTCTCTGGTTCTGTATAACTCCTCTAATGCAGTTATTTTACATTTATGATTCATAATGAAATACTGCACATACATTTTGAGAACATCTAAATTGACACAAGATCTGTAATAAATAGGTAAATGAGACATTTAAAATCTATGTAAGCCTAATATTTAAGCTTTTAGTGCCATTAAAAAGCCTTTGAGTTCCTGCCGGTTGAGTGATGACGATCCCACCTGTTTTATCCATCTCAATATCCTGTCAGCCAACTCTCATTAGCGCTGAAAGTGTGTGTGTCTGGTTTTGATGAAAGGTAAATGTATAGCACATGTCTTAAAGCCATCTGAATGAGTTGGCGAGAGCCGATGAGTGAATTGTTTCATGTGAATGAATGCTCTTTAACTCCCTTTCATTTGCAAGATATGCGAGGACCAGGTTCAACAATAATAAACCGACACGTTATAAACACACTGCACGAACAAACACACACCTATGCGCACGCACACACCTTTCCACAGCTATTGAGAAAATAAAGCAGGTCCATCTGTGTAAACACTGATGGTCTCGGCCCGATGTGTGCCGTCTGAATGAGAGTTGTCATTTAAGAGCACAGGAAAGGGTGTTGCCATCTCTGTGTGTGTTTTCACCACAAAAAGACACATACACACTCTTATTCAGCACACACGTGTGTGTGTGAAGAAAGCCAAACAGAAGAATAGATAAATGCAGGCCTGTTTCCCTCGATTACATCCAGTTCAGTTCAGTTTGAACAAGCTATTCAAAGCAGATAATAAATGCTTGTATAAGGCTCAGATTTTCTGCCAACATGTTCAGTTTTCTTACAAATCCAGTGACCTCAATCACCTGCAACCGCCATACGGCAGCCAATCAGATCGCTGCTTCACACATATGTGTGACCCATCTTGGTCAACCCACACAAAGGCACTTTAGTGTGTCAATGTAATGGCTTTTCCAAACTAAAGGAGATGTGTGTATTTCTAACATAATCATTCCACGTGCGCTATAAAATTCATCCCTTCCTGCACCAGGCGGAATGTTTTAAGTTTCCCATGGTCGGTATTGTTTTTAAGGCCCTCGCCTGCGCCGATAGAGCCAAGTGTGGTGTTCACGTGAGAGAGAGGTGGCTGAACTGGCACTCTTCGAAATTTACTATGTATACAAACCTCAAGTTGTAATAACTGGGTGGTGTACTGTAATTACAGTGTAACTATTGTGTAATTAGACACATATAACCCTGCTGTTTTATCTTCAAGGTCCATAAAGAAGCGGCCAAAGCTGCGAACCAGAAAAGTGAGTGTGCCTTCATAAGCGTGAGAGATATATGATACCCTTTCAGATAAGATAAGCGAAGAGTGTTGGGGATTACGATTTAGACACATCTCTAATTACGTACAATACTAACAACACAGTAGTGACTAATTTCATTCACACATGAGTGAAGTCATGAAAAGATAATAACAGTATAGGGGTTGTCAATGTCAAATCTAATGCACAGTTTTTAAAAAGTGCAGCTACTGTAGATTAGCCTGCACCAATCTGGCAAATTTTAAATATATTACCAGGGTTTTACATGATTAGTTAACAGAAATTTAAATATTCAGAACTTCACTGTAGTAACATCAGTGCAATTTTAATTTCTTGATAACAGAACAGATGATTTTAAAATAGTAATGCTGTACTGTGTCATTAAATGATGAAAATAGCTTTATTATAGTGATTTGTGTTCCCTTTGGACCTTTTCGCCTTTTAATTAATCTTCTCGCAGCCAGTGTCATGGGTTGAACTGTTACATGAAAAAAATATGATAAATTCAGTGACTTACTTTAATTTGAATAAGAATACTTCACATTTATTCTAGTGCTGTCAAATCGATTAATTGTGATTAATTGCATACAAAATAAAACCTTGTATATATATGTGTGTTTGTGTATATATACATTTTCATATTTATATATGTAAATATTTCTTAAATATTTATATTTTAAAATTTATATACATATAAATATACACAGCACACACATATATTATATGTAAACACAAGCTTTTATTGTGGATGCAATTAATCACGATTAATTGATTTGACAGCACTAATTTATTCATAATTCATAATATGATTTATTAAAGATGACAGATTTAAGTATGAAATGACAAAGTAACTACATTTAAAGATATAAAAAAATAAATACATAAAAAATATATTACAAAACAAGTGACTTAATGTGACAAAAAGTAAAAGCAAATTAGTAAATCAGCAAATAGCAAATAAACCTAGATAATTTATAAAATGAATATTAAATAAATAATAAATAAAACATTAAATAAGTAAATATATATTTCACAAAGAATGCTGAGGAAGTAAAAATATATATGGAACTATAATGATTAAAAAGTGCCAATATGTGGACATCACACTATTACAGTTGATTCATAAACATGCATAAGATATATTTAAGACCATTTACACAGCTAATATTTGTGATTCACTGCATAACGTTGTTACAGAGTACACAGTTGTCAACTACAGCAACTAGCAGCCAGGAGTATACTGACACACACTCAGCATTTTTATACAGTGTTTCACTATCATAAGTATTTATGAAGTGAAGTGAATCTCACTAATTCTTTGTAAATGATGTATTTATTGTAAATACATAGTACTGCGACTTGAATGAACAGCTATGAAGAGTGCTGCTGAGATATTTAACCCTCATCTCACATGAATCACCCAGAGTTTCGACCGAGCAGCGAGGCAGTTGTACCAGCTGTCGTTCTGGGCTTGTTTTTGCCTCGGCTGGCCAAGCCAAATGTGAGAATGAAGAGATTTATGGTTGCGGAGAGGGAAATGCGCTGGTAATACCCTAATCAAGCATTCATGCCCGCTCAGTAGCAGCTTTCAACAACTCTGTCTTCAGAACAAACATTTTCACAGCACGCAAACGCCATTATTCTGAGCTGGTGAATTTGTGTGTATGTAATGCCAGATAAACCCTTCACACCCAGTGCCAAACGCTATGCTTCTTTCAGGATGCATGTGGTAAACATGTGATTCATGCACTTCATTGCAATATCAGGTGACTTTATTTAAGGGTGTACGTCTCAGAAGTAGGTCTGGTGAGTTATCTGTAATAATCCTGCTCCCCTTCTGCCCCCCATCTCAGCGGGAACCCAGCCGTGAAATTACCATCAGATACAACACACACACACGTACAGAGCGAGTGAGAGCCGGGTTGATAAATAAACCATTTCTGTTTTACAGAAGGGCCAAGGGTTGCTGGATCCAAACACATAATATAAACTCTCGAGAGGAACAGAAGAGCGTGTGCACCAGCAAAACTCCTTTGCTAAAGGCAACCGTGATCAATCAACCCAAAATGCACACGCAACATACACACATACACATATAGTAAAGGTTCTTTAATGAACCCTTTTCTTATCATGAATCATTTTTCATGTCCATGGTGCTTTAGAAAACCACCAAGAACCATGTTAATGGTGCTTTAGAGATGAAAACTCTTGATAGTTTTTTCAGATCACTGTATTGGTTATAGCTACACTAAAAAAATGAGTAGAAACAATTTTCACTTTGAAATCTATGGAAGCCCATTTCCACCACTGAATAAAAAATAAAAAAGGTGATTTCATGTCTTTATCTCACAATTCTTACTTTTTCTCTTGTAATTGCGAGTTTACGTCTCTCAATTCTGAGTTTTCTTCTCAGAATTTATAAAGTCAGAATAGCAGAATATAAACTCACAATTGCGTTACATAAAAAGTCACAAATGTGAGATATAAACTTGCAATTGCGAAAAAAGTCAGAATTGTAACCTTTTTGAATTATGACCAAATTACCTTTGTAGCGTCTGCGTAGAATCATGCATGATCTTTGGGGTTTTTATGGCTTAAGAGACCCTTTTAGCCTTTTGACATTTGCATATAAATTACAGTTCTGGTCAGAGACTTTACGTTTGTATGGGGGTTTAAATTGCCAAATGCCTTTATTAATTTTTTATTCAGTGGCAGAAACGGGCTTCCATAGAAATCGCTACACACTCATTTTTGGTTCTACAAAGAACCATTCAGTCAAAGGTTCTTTAAAGAACAATCTCTTTCTTACCTTTTTATGAGCTAAAGAACCTTCTTTCGCCACAAAGAACCTTTTGTGAAACAGCAAGGTTCTTCAGATGTTAAAGGTTCTTTATGGAACCATTTAGACAAAAAGGCTCTTCTATGGCATCGTGAAGCACTTTCATTTTTAAGAGTGTAGTAAATTTGACAAACAATTACATAGAAATGGCAAGTAACTCATTGAATTAAACATTACATTTTGAAGTAGAAAAAATTACTAGTACTTTTTGTACAAATAAAAATAGTTTTTGTAAAACGTCCCAAAAACCTTTGAAAAAAAATTTTTTTTTACAGTGGGCCTAGATGAAATCTGCAAACTTTTCAGCCAATTTGTCTGCTGATTTTGGTAAATTCAGGGGAATATTTTTTCCATTATTTATACATTGTGGTCAGTTGAAAAAAGTCTCTCACCAAGGCTACATTTAATTTAAAAAAAAATACAGTAAAACCATTAATATTATAAAATATTATCACAATTTAACAGAACTGTTCTCTATTATAATATATTTTAAAATGTAATTTATTTCTGTCATGGCAAAGCTACATTTTCAGCAGTCATTACTAGTCAGTCTTCGGGGTTATATGAACCTTAAGAAATCATTCTGGTTGATGATTTGGTGCTCAAGGAACATTTATAATATTATCAATGTTAAAAAGAGTTGCTTAATATTTGTGTGAAAACCATAATACATTTTTATCAAGATTCTTTTATGAACAGAAAGTTCTAAAGCATCTAACAGCATTTACTTGAAACTGAATTTTTTAAACAGTGAAAAGTCCTTATTGTCACTTCTGATCAATTACTGAATAAAAGTATTCCTTTCTTTCTTTCTTTCAAAAAAAAAAAAAAACTTTTATATGGTAGTGTAAATTTGAATATTTCTGAAGTGAGTCACATACCCTAAATATACCCAAAAGATCAATGTAGTTTGATGCAGTTTTGATTTCAAAGGAAGTTTGCTTGTCGCCCCACACTTACCCCAAGGTCTTTTCCAGCCCACTTGCATTCATCGCGTTTGGAAGGTGTGGCGGGCCAGGCGATCTATAAAACAAGGAAAGAGAGAAGGTGTGAGAATGTGTGCGGAGCGAACACAGTGAACTGCAAATGACTGACTAAGGCGCTCGGCATGAAACCTGGCTGTAAAATAATCAACGACTGCTGCCTGCCGTCCTTCTGCCACCTCCATCTGTGACGACGATGAAGACAGAGGATAAAAACTACCATTCCTCTTATCCAGGGAGCACGAGATACATACACACACACACACACATACATAGGCCTACAAAGCGTTTTTTATTCTGCGTTATATTCCTCTAAGATCTGCTAAGGTATTCTGTCTGCGCAAGTAATTTGCTTAATTGCGATAATTTGCCAAGTTCTTATCTTTAAACGATGGCATTGCATGATTTCTGTGTGTGTTCAATAAAAGCCAGCTTTAACCCTTATGAGGATCGAATATAAAGCAAATGGTCTGCAGCCTCCAGGACAAAGAAAGAATAAAAGCACGAAAAAGAAAGAGGAAACCAAAGTAATGGAATCCAGAGAGAGAAAGAAAGAGCGATTGAGAGAGATAGAAAGCGAAGCATTACGCTGCAGATATGATCACGGAATGAAAAACAGAGGGAGGCAGGCTGAGATCAAATGGGCAGATGGAAAGAAGGAGAAAGTGATTGCAGATCTGGGTTGTGCAGCTAATAAGAGCGAGATGGACGTCTCTGATGACCCTGGGTTTCTCCGACAAACTTCATAAAATCCCTCACCGATCATTCTTGCTAAATGCAGACAGAGGGAAACAGCATGAATTACCATTCACAACATATTTTACTGCTAAAATGTGACATGTTTCCAAGGTAAGCAGGATATTCAGCTTGAAAAATGGAAGGGTGCAGTTTGATTTGATCATGAAAAATGGAGTTTCTATATCAAGCTGAATGCAAGTTTGCTTAAAAAAAAATCTCAATTTAGCTCATGATTAACACCCTGTGCGGCCTAAGTGACATGGTGTTCGAGGAAGATTTTGACTAGTTAATTTGAATATGAAGACTCTTCAAATAGCATGCAATATGAATCGCTCACAATAAGACCAGGAACATACATTCATCTATGCTGATGTTAAGGCAAGCACCTGTTTGACGTCTCTGTTGATGTTGACCAGGTCAAAAGAGAAGACGTGATCCTCCGCTCCAACAAGTAATCTTCCTCTCTCCTCATCCATCAGGAACGTGTCGTAACCTGAACTGTTTGCCAAGCCAGTGAAAGTCACTAGATTACTGGATTCCAGCATTTCTGAAAGACAGAACAAAAAAAGAAGGCATACATAACTTAGAACTCATTTGCTCATTTGCTTTATAAAACAGTAAACAGAAAGAAGCTTGTGTCAGGTTAGAAGAAAGTCCAACAAGTATGCTCATAAATGTTGTATAAAAATGTATACATACATACAGGTAGGTACCAAAAGGTATTTTATTTATTGTTATTAACGTTATTTATTTTTTATGTTTATTTATTTATTTATTTCTAATTACAAATTTAAATATGCACCTATTTATTTAAATTATAAATATTTCAAAATAACAGTTGAAATAATTTTTTTGTTTCAGGTTAGCAGAAAACTTAATAAGTAGGTCCCATAATTTATTGCTGATAACGCTATATACTTTCATATAATATTCATTCATTTTATTTATTTTTATATAATATTTATTTATTTAAATTTTACATTTTTAAATAAATGTAAATAATTTTAAATAATACTTTTTTAAATAACACATTTTAAAATATAAACTTAATATAAATACATATTTATTTTATATATAAATTACAATAAACAAACATATTTTAAAATATTTGATTTATTTAAATGTTTTCAGACACCTATTTTGAAAGTTATTTGTTGCACTTTCTGCATCTTTGAAAAACAACACTAATCATGTGTTTAGTTACAATTTCTTTAAAACCACCTTGGTGGTTAGTGGACCACAACTGTATCTTTTCAACCATAGCATGAAAATTGCTGAGGAAAACACTGCATGATCGAATCACAAGGACCAAATCAAGTGTATGACCAGCTGACCCACGTAATCATTTATATGAGCTTAACACATGGCTGAATAACCAAAATTGTGTGTGTGTGTGTGTGTGTGTATGTGTGCTGGGTTTGAGGTAGTATCAGAACAGGTCTTAAACATGTTGGTGTATACAGCTTATTTAATAGTTCTTATTGCACTTTGGCACTTACATCTACATTGCATAGTCTATATAAAGCCAGAGGGCCTGATTTAGCATTTGTATGTATATAAACACTGCAACATCATAATACAAGAATCTGATCTACTAATGTAGTTCACTGAGTACATCTTTCAACACCAGCACTAAAAGCCTCCTTTAAACTTATTTGCACAATAATTCTGAGTAAATTACTTGCAATACACCCGCAAAGCGACCACACGCAGTTTGTTAGATTGCACAAGACAAAATTAGTACCGCTTTATTTGGAATCCTAGTAACTCGGGTCAAAGGAATAGCTAATCAAGCAAAAAACTGCTGTTGTTATGGCAGATACAGCCAAAGAAACTATCTGTTCAACCAGACACTGTGAAAATATAATGACCTGAGGCGCAAAATCTGCCAAATTTGTCCCTCTCCCAGTGAGCAAGGAAACAAGGTTGGATAAAAGTAAGAGAAGGCTGAAGGGAAAGAAAAGTGAAGAGGAGATGAAGTGAGAATGATAAGGGAGAGGTGGAAAAGAGCTTGCAGGAGCCACCGGCCAGAACATCTACTCATGGGAGAGGGTGAGGTCAACATGTCTGCAACGTTTCTGTAACACGCACACGAATCATAATCAACAGTGACACGCAAAGACTGCAGCTCCTCTCCAGAGCCCAGATCAATCCGCTCCTATAGTAGCCATCTGCGTTTCTCGCCGCTAAGATTTTTGGACATCTGTGTGGTTGTGGGAGAGGGAGATCGCGAGCAAGGGAAAGTGATAAGGAGAAACAGACCATCCTTCCTTTGCCTGTGTCAATAACGCTGCATATCAAATGTAGAACAGCATTCCCGCAGGACCGAAGGCAGAATGGGCATGGTTCAGTCTGTCCGTTCCTGCTTCTAACACGAGAGTTTCATTAAAACTCTCGTGTTAGAAGCAAGCAATATCCAGATATATAAACAGATGCCAGGCCTGTCTGACAGACTCCGGCTGAGTCAGAATATTGAGCAAGTTTTCTTTTATGTAAGAAGATACACACAGAAGGGTCGTTTGTCACCTTGAATGGGTTTATTTAAACAATATCACATGGGGAAAAGATCTATATCAGCACTTCTATATAGACAAATTTTATTGGTTAACTTGCACTACTGTTAAAAGTTGTTGTTTTTTTGAAAGAAAAGAAATAAAGAAAATAAATACTTCAAGTGATCAAAAATGACAGTATGAGTCTATTTAAAATACATGATCTTTGTTTGAACTTTCTATTCTTCAAAGAAACCTGAAAAAAATGTTTTCAACATTGATAATAATAAGAAATATTTCCACAACATATTAGCATATTAAAATGATTTCTGAAGGATAATGTGACACTGACGACTGGAGTAATGATGCTGAAAATTGAGCTTTTCCATCACAAACAATGAATTAAATGTTAAAATATATTAAAATAGAAAACAGTTATTTTAAATTGTAATAATATTTCACAACATTACTGTTTTTACAGTTTTTTAATCAATCAAATGCAGCCTTGGTGAGCAAAAGAGAAAACATTAAATATTTTACCAACCCCAAACTTATGAAAGGTTGCAAAACAAATAACTAAATGGAGATGAAAACAGAGGTTGCAGAGTGATACAAGAGATATCAATCTAAGAAATTGATTCTCGGGTAGTGCTGGGCGGTATACCGGTTCATACCGAATACCGGTTTTTATTTTTGTTATGATACGGGGTCAAAAATGTATAATAAAGTTTGCTAAACCGTGTACAAAAATATTTGACAGCAGAATGTCATAACTGACAAATCAGAATCAAGCATCCCAGATAACTGTTTAATTAATGACAAGCAAACTTTGGTAAGATACAAAGCACTGCATATTCAGAAATCTATCTATATACTGGTGCTTTAAAGAACCCAGAACCCATTCAACTGATACGAAGAACATGAAGAACGTTATATCATGAAGAACCATATAATCAACTCAAGAAGCCTATACAGTAAATCATGGTTGTTGAGTAGAAGAACCACTTAAAGAATCTAAAGGAATTTCTGCCTGGTGCTGCTACTGGCTAACACATTTAATAAGAAATATTAATAGTCAAAAGTAGATTGTATTCAGGAAAAAAAAGAAAGCCATACTGATTACTTCTTGCCAGACTTCAGGGGAGGCCTGAAAGAACATAAGAGGACATCCTGGAAAGAGACTTCATCTCATCTTTCTTTTCTTTTTTCACTCCCCTGACTTTATTATTCTCACTCATCTAGTCTTTGCATCGCTCCATGTGCCAAACATTCTTATTCTTAGCCTCTTTTTTCTCTGCCAGTGTCTGTATTACTGCCGTTAGGTGAACTTCTCCAAAGCCTCACTCTCCTGCCATTCTGGCTCAAGATCTGACGGCCGCGTCTGGCAGTTTCATTATTCCCCTGCTCAAAGTGAGTGACTGGTGCTTGAACTCTGAAGACCAGGCACTTTTTTTCTTAAAAATGCCTTGGCAAGACCATCACAAAAGGTTGCCATCATATGGTCCGTGATCACACAAACACACACACTTTATCCGGAGATACATCAGCCTGGATAGGAGCTTAGAGTAAATGGAGTGTGAGATTTAAAAAAGGAAGCTTAACAAATGTCTCTCGCTCTTTCTCAGTCTCTCTCTGTCCTGCAGACTGAGAACTGTGCTGTCAACTCTTCATATATCATAGAAAAGCCTCTCATACACTTGATTTATACACTGCAACGTTTTCATCCATACACCTCTGTTTCCAATAGTTGGTACATGAAAACTAAAAACCAATACTAAACCAAACTACAAATGCACAATTGAAAGTTCTAAACTTAGGACTGAAAATGAAACACTTGCTGAAAACATGCTGAGCTGCAATGCATGTTTAACTCAATAAAACAAAGTTGCAAAACTGCACATTTTAAAAACTTTGGTAACAGTTCAGATCAGAACACTATTCACTATTAACTAGTTGCTTATTAGCATGCATATTACTAGCATTATTGGCTGTTTATTACTTATAAAGCACATTTGAATGCCTTAAATGCAAAAAACAATAACAACAACAAGGGCTTGGTTAAAACAGGTTTAAAATAAAGGGAAAAAAGGAATATATATATATACAAAAAACTATAAAAATTAAATATAAAAACTTACAACTCAGGAAATATATGTAGAAAAGTTTAAATATAAATTATAAAAATATACAAATATAAAACAGTCAACCTCACTAATCAATTAGTTGACCAATTAGGTGACACATGCCTAAAATAAAAGTCGATTAAAGGACAAAAATGTAAAAGCAGTATGTCCAACACAACCCACATGACTTAAGAGTGAACAGACCAGTGTTTAGGAAGTGAAAATGAGTGCAAAACTAATAATACACAAAGGACAAAAAGCAGTTTGGGATTTTGGTGAGGGTGTACAGTTATGTATCTCTGCATCTGTGTGTGTGTTTGAGAGATGGGGAAATGTGTGTGCATGCTGCTGCCACTGTGCTTTAGCTCTGCCTCGGGCTACCAGCCGCCCCAGGAGAGTGAGGGAAGTGAGGAAAGAAGGAATAAAAAGTGAAAGAGTGCTGCAGGTGGTTTTGGGCGCTACCTGTTTATTTAAGCCAGAACAATGGCGCGCTTCAAAACACACGTCGTCGAACGTGACACGGTTTTGGCAAAAGTCCTCCTTCTCTCTGTTCTCTCAATGGGCTAAGTGTGTGGTTCGGTCTTGACGGTTTTGTGCTTGAGAGAACTTAGATTTTAGAAACAGAGATTTGCTTAACACGCTGTTTCGCATATTGCTTCAAGCTCTGGGATATGAATAAGCCCGTAGTTTCGCTTTGACTTGCTCTCGCATGCAACCGGCCGCAGGTTTTGGTAAGTTTCCCCAGTAACCGTGCTGGAGCTCGGTCTGTTGGATTGACAGCTGAGTGCGGGATGACATTTAATTCCACTGACACCAACACCAACAGGAAACTTATTCTTTCTTTACAAATTTCTTTATGCACATTAGTTTTAATAAAAGACGCCTCTGTATGAACTGATTTATGTCATGGCCAACTGGCTCAAATTTCCATT